TATCTTCCACATTTTTGATCAGATAAAGGTTTCAAGGGTACCGTTGTAAACCAGGGGTTACTATCTTTGCATGGAGGGTCACTTGAACTTACGCTTACAGTCCCTTTAAAAATCAGAAACTCATTCTGTTTATTTCTTAGTCGACTTTTAAAAAATAAAAAATAGATAAAAAATAGAAATTCAGTTCGCTTCGAGTTAGCATCAATTAGAACTCAAATCTAAGGCTTCTTTCTTTTTTGAACATTAAAAAATAGATTTATCTTTTGTGATTTTAAAAATGCATTACTTGAATTTATTAAAAACATTTTTGCAACTAAAATGTATTAACTAAAGAAGTGTTTTAAATTAATGAAGATTTGTTTGCAGCTACAATTGTAACTCCATATATATGTACTGTATAATGCTTCACAATTGGTGAAAAGAATGATGAATGAACTAATGAAAGAATGAATAAATAAGGATGTAAGGAATAAGCAAATAATGAATAAACTACTGAAAGGATGAATGAATGCTGAATGAATCAATGAAAGATGAATAAACTACTAAAAGGATGAATAAATGCAGAATGAATCAAAAAATGATGAATGAACTAATGAAAGAATGAATACATAAGGGTGGAAAGGATAAACAAATCATGAATAAACTACTGAAAGGATGAATGAATGATGAATGAATAAATGATGAATGAATCTATGAAAGGATGAATAAATTAATGAAAGGATTAATGAATGATGGATGAATCAAAGAAAATAGAAATGAATGATGAATAAATTAATATAAGAAGGATGAACGAATAATGAATATCAATTAAAGAATGAATAAATGATGAATATCAATGAATCACTAAATCAATGAATCACTGACCATTAATCAATGAATCAATGAATCAATGAATCAATGAATCAACGAATCAATGAATAAAATAATCACCGAATCGCTGAATCACTGAATCACTGAATCACTGAATCAATGAGAAAGGATGAATGTATGAAAAGAATGATTGAGTAAAAGAATTAAATAAATAAACACAAGTAAGCCCTAGAGTAGTATATTATAGAGTAGTATATTATAGAGTAGTATATTATACTGAACACTCTAAATGAGAAATCACAACAATAAAGTTCAAACTATTGCTTGGTGGGAGCGAATTGCATAATTAATTGTAAATTTGAATACCTGTACAGATCAACTATATNTCTATTGTTTTCAAAAAAAGTTTTAAAAATATCTTGAAGATTGAAACATGACAGAAATCCGCAATTATTTTGCGTGGAAATCTGCAATAAATGTTATTAAATTATAATGTTTAATTATAATGTTATTAAATTATAATGTTTAATTATAATGTTATTAGTTTTATAAAATTTTGAAAAAGAATAGAATAAGCATGTTTTCCCGAATAGTCTATTTTGTCTTTAAAATTTGGTTTCACGGATTTTTTTCTACGTTCAAATTTTGTCCAGAACATCGATAATCCAGAATATTTTTTTGCCTCACCGACATCCTTTATACACATCAATCATTTTTTTTATCATTACCTTACAATTTTTCATCTTGGTGTGTCTAGGTTTAATGTGTTAAACATAGAAAAGTAAACAAATAAGAGAGAAACATGAACATTGCACTTTTGCAATATTAAAATATTCTATTATTTTATGCATTAATGCAGAATTTTCGTATAAATCATGGTCGTCTTCAAATTGTCATGTTTAGTTGGACAGTATGTACAGTATGTACAGTATGTACAGTATGTACAGTATGTGCAGTATGTAAAGTATTTACAGTATGTACAGTATGTTTAAAACTATGCCAAGATTTACAACAATAGAAATATTCATTTTTGTTTAAAATGGTCTTATTGTTATTTCAAACATAAATGAAATATTGGAGGGGGGGGGTTGGATATAAACAGAACACTAAAGGGAAATTAGTAATCCTGTGTCTTGAATCTAGAACTAGTTGTGTATAATGTGTATAGTGTGTATATAGCTTGGGGGTAAAATACGTAATAAAATAGTATGGTCAAATAGAGATAGTTAGATAGATAGATAGATACATGAAAACCATTACATCAACTTAAAAAAACTCTAAGAAATAAGTTGATAGTTTAGAACACTTTTATCGTCAAAAATCCATAACTTTATTTGTTTCATTCAAACCTTTTTATAACTTAAACTAAATCATATTTTTCACCAATTGTAATTCACTTTTATCTTGTATTCACTTTTATAACTTTATAATTATAAAGTGTGGAGGGAAACTGTTTATGTTGAATGTAAATATGTAAATAAATTACATCTGTATAATGTATATTGTATTTAAGTAGACTGTATATACAGTATATATATATATATATATCAGCTGACTCTATGAGTGTCCGGTGCTGACTGCCGCTGCACTGCCCAACGCAGTGTGTACTGTGTAAGAAGAAGTAGCAGATTTTAGCTCCCGCATTTTCTTAATCCTTCACTCTACAGTCTACTTCCTGCACTTCCTATCACGGCTGTACACTGTACAGTGTAGAGTGTGTACGGGTGTATGAAGTGTACGGATTGTGAGGATGAAGGGAGGATTTTAAATGTTTACTTCAGATCCCTCCAGCCTCGCCAGATATATTGATCTCCGGCCTCAGACTAGGGAGGGAGGGGGGGGGGAGGTTTGTGTAGATTTATTCTTTGTCCGCCCGGTTAGGGGGATTGTGTAGATGGAAATTTTTAATTTCTAAAGATGGTTGGTTCGGATTGAAAACATTGACAAAAACACGCACGATTACATTTACAACTCTGGAATTTGGAACATTTCTGTACGTAATTTATATCAGAAATTGATCCTCACAAGTTAAATATTGTTCCTCATATATTTTCATTCATATATCTATCCATCCTTTCATTCATATATCTATCCATCTTTTCATTTCTAAATATCCATTTTTTCAATATTGATCACTTTTTTATCCAATATCATATTTGGTTTATTCTTTTTGAATACAATTCTATTGTTTTCAAAAAAAGTTTTAAAAATATCTTGAAGATTGAAACATGACAGAAATCCGCAATTATTTTGCGTGGAAATCTGCAATAAATGTTATTAAATTATAATGTTTAATTATAATGTTATTAAATTATAATGTTTAATTATAATGTTATTAGTTTTATAAAATTTTGAAAAAGAATAGAATAAGCATGTTTTCCCGAATAGTCTATTTTGTCTTTAAAATTTGGTTTCACGGATTTTTTTCTACGTTCAAATTTTGTCCAGAACATCGATAATCCAGAATATTTTTTTGCCTCACCGACATCCTTTATACACATCAATCATTTTTTTTATCATTACCTTACAATTTTTCATCTTGGTGTGTCTAGGTTTAATGTGTTAAACATAGAAAAGTAAACAAATAAGAGAGAAACATGAACATTGCACTTTTGCAATATTAAAATATTCTATTATTTTATGCATTAATGCAGAATTTTCGTATAAATCATGGTCGTCTTCAAATTGTCATGTTTAGTTGGACAGTATGTACAGTATGTACAGTATGTACAGTATGTACAGTATGTGCAGTATGTAAAGTATTTACAGTATGTACAGTATGTACAGTATGTACAGCATGTACAGTATGTACAGTATGTACAGTATGTACAGTATGTACAGTATATACAGTATGGACAGTATGTACAGTATCTACAGTATCTACATTATGTACAGTATGTACAGCATGTACAGTATGTGTTGTTTACAATGAATATTGGTGGGTTTTATGCAGTTTAACACACAACTTTGGAAATTTCGAAAGAATTTAAAAAATGTCGTCTTGACTGTTTTTCAACCTAAATCTGTTTTTTAAACCTAAATCTCAGTAGTTGTAAAAAAAACATAAATTGACATGAAACATGCAGGAACAGTTTTAAAGAGCTCCACATAATTATTTCATTAAAGAACTAAGTACCAGCATTCTATTTTTAGTAGGTTTAGAAAACGACATCTTATAAATCTATATAATAAAACAAGACATTCGTATATATATACGTTGCGTATAACCGGCCAAACAGCTGGACCGATTGGGCTGACATTTTTTGTGGACACTCAGGGGTGGCCGCGGGGTGTTAAAGGCTAAAGAAATTAGAATTTGTTTTCTTTCTAAATTTATTTTTTCCACGGGCAACGCCGGGCCCTTCAGCTAGTTATTTATAAAGTCTCCAAAAAGTTCTGGTTTAAACTGTACAAAGGCAGGTTAGTAAAGTGAAAAACATGAAAACGACTTTATACCAATTCTTAAATGTGTTTGAGGTTGTTGCAAAGCAAATAGTTTTACTAGATACTTACTACTTAAAATGCACTAGTTTAGTAAAATGGCTCTGTTTACACTGCACAATTGCCGTGTCTCATGCTCATTGGGCTTTTAAAAGTAAATTGATTCTAAAAATCGTCTTCTTAATCCAGATTTTTCTGGTTATCACTATATGTTTTATTACAGTGAATCCCAGATATATGAATACATAGCAAACGTTTTTTATAATGTCGTATTCCATATTTAAGATCAAATGCCGCGGAAAATGTATTAAATATTAATATATCATTTGCATTCTTATTTCAAGGCTATTAATTTACCTTGAATTAGAAATAAAAAGAAGATTCTTTAGAATTATCAAAAAGATTCTTTGTATGTTTTTCTGAAATTGAATCGTTTAATATATCTAATTTTTTTAATGTTTGTAATAAGGATGATATATCATAATGCAATAAATATGTAGTGCATTTATGAGCGTGTGAAAAATCATTTAAAAATAATTTATATAACTGTAAATAATCTTTTAACCTGTTTTTCAAGACTTTAATCAAGGATTGTGATTTTTGTAAAACTTTAATAGTTTAACAAGATTTCGGCATTTTGATACAATTCAAAGGAAGTTTTCTTAATTGACATGTTGTTCTATTTAAGTACATAGCTATTTACTTGAATAAATTAAGTTGTATAATTAATTAAAGCAAATTATATATTCATTGGATAATTATTTTAGTTAATCATGAAGAATCAAGAAGTATGGTTCCTTTGTGTCCTAACAATTATGTTGTCCTTAGGCATTAAACATTTAACAATTTAACTAGAAATTAAAAAGTTTCGCCAATGCTTTCTATAAATATTATAACATAAAATGAATTTGCATATTGTTAAAAACAAAATGCAATGTTGTTAATTCACCTTATTTTGCAAGAATAATAAACTGAAAATGACTGGCATTTCTAAAATATAGTATTAGTTTCAAAATGCTGAAGATTAAACATGCCAAACGCTAGATTTAAAATTTTTAATTAAAACAATTTCTTTTTCAATTTTTTAAGATATGAGAATTTAGATTATTTGATCTTTCAGAATTCATAGTTTGGTATATTTAAGGTGTTCAACATCAGGTTGTAAAGATATTGGGATTAGAAAATTAGAAATTGTGACAAAGACTCAATTTCTTTTCTAAAAAGTAAATAATATTATCTCAAAAGCTATTCATAAAACTAAAAAAATGTAGGTTTCCTAAAATGTTTGAATTAGGAGAGTCCAAAAAGTTCCTTGTAGAAACAATGGACGACATACCTGGTGGAAATGAAGGAGGTAAATATTTTAAAATAGTTTTATAAAGTTATCCGCAAATAGGGCTGGGCAACGAAACGAAAGCTTCTGAATATTAACGGCATACGGAAAACCCGTCGATTTTTGAAAACAAAAAGAAACAGCTGTTAGTTCAACTTGAACTTGCATGAAACTTAAAAGAAATAAAAAATTAACGTTATATAATTTATTTATTTTTTTCACGTATTTTTAATGTTTTTGAATGTTGTCTTTTTTCAGCTATTTTTACATGAAATAATCGTTACTGACTCTTAAACTGCCCCTTTAATGATTTCTATAACATATTCAAATAACGCCGTTATTTAAATTAAGTACGTTAACGAACAATAACTTTTAAAAATAACGGAAAATTTCGTTCTTAGTTAAATAACGAACGGTTATGTGAATTTGTTTTTAACGGTTTTAACTAACCATAAAAAAACAGCCTTAAAAAGTCTAAACATGCCCTGCCCTACCAACAAAGCGCAGGCCAGGGATTAGGACTGTTTGAAGTGGTGTGGGGGAAGCACTAACGATTTTTTATGCATTTTTGTCGTTGTTATTATATTATTCAAAAAAACAATTCTTGAAATGTATTTTCCAAAGTGGACAATCCATGGAGAATTTTAAAGATAGAAATTTCGCTCTTATTCAGCGATTGATACACCGTAAAACTTTCAAATAAAGGTTTCAAATAAATCCTGAAATATTTCTCTACTGAGAGTCTCAGCTCATTAATGAAGCTATTTGCTTAAAAGCAAAGCTGTTCTCCTCACTTCGTTTCAAGTCATTTTCTTCTACTAGAACTACACTTGTGGAATATAGTGTTGTTTTTCTATCATTAAACTTGTAAAAATAACACTGCAAAAAAAGGAAACTTTTAAACTGTGAAAATACAAAGCTCTGAAAATGTAAATTTCAAATTATCTAATCGCTACATCTTTGTGAGCCAATGTCGTAGACCTTTGATATTTCAAACTATGAATTCTATTAGATCAAATAATCTAAGTTTGAAATATCAAAGGTTTATACCATCGGGTAACAAATGTATAGGGAACAGATGATTTGAGTTTGTGGCAAAAACTCAATTCCTTTCCTGTAAGTTTTCTTCCAATAGAGCTCAGAACCCTACCCTTTCCTAGCCAGGGAGTACGAGAGGGGGGGGGGGCACTGGGTGCACGCATAGGCCGGGGCCTCATTTATTAATTGATTTGTTTCTGATGTCGGGAAAAAATGAAAAATTTGACATTAAAAGGCAAGTTATTAAATCCTTTTTTTAAATTTTTTTGAACAAGAATTCAGCAAGTTAAACCCAGAACATTATAATGGCGCTCCAAACAAACAGACCTAATTTCTGTTTAAAAAAATATGGTAATAAAAAAATGAAAAATTGGACGTCTAAAGGCAAGTTTTTTATCATTCAGCATTTTTGTAGGAAAAAATTATTTTTGATAAATGGGGGGGACTTGATATCAATTTTTTTATCCTTTTTATTTTTTATACTACAAAAATCATTTTTTAAGGGGAACATGATTTTTCAAGACAGGAACTTTTATTGACACAAACTTAAACTTTAGAATCCCTTTTTCAATTTAAATCTTAGGGTTTTTGGTCTAACAGAATTCATAGTTTGAAATAGTTGAAATAGTTTGGAAATGCAATTTTGAGTTTGGCCCTGTAGAAGTAGCCTGTCCTAGCCACCGTTCTTAGCCCTGCAACCTGTCATTGCCGCAGTTCTAGGCCCTGTAGCCTGTCCTAGCCGCAGCTCTAGGCCCTGTATCCTTTCCTAACCACAGATCTATGCCCTGTTTCCTGTACTAGCTGTACTAGCCGCAGTTCGAGACCCTGTAGTTTGGCCTAGTCACAGTTCTTGGCCATGTAGCCTGTCTTAGTCACAGTTCTTGGTCCTGTAGCCTGTCCTAGTCGCAGTTCTAGGCCCTGTAGCCTGTCCTAGTCGCAGTTCTAGGCCATGTAGCCTGTCCTAGTCGCAGTTCTAGGCCCTGTAGCCTGGCCTAGTCGCAGTTCTTGGCCTTGTAGCCTGTCCTAGTCGACTTTCTAGGCCCTGAATCCTGTCCTAGCCGCAGTTCTAGGCCCTGTAGCCTGTCCTAGTCGCAGTTTTTGTCCCTTTAGTCTGTACTAGCTGCAGTTCTTGGCCCTTAATCCTGTAATAGCAGTTCTAGGCCCTGTAGTGTAGCCTGTCCTAGCCACAGTTCGCTAGACCCTTTCTTTGAATCAAAAGTCAAAATAATTATTTTTTGAGAACCCCTACTCTTTTGATAATATTTATTTTATATTCTATCTTTGAAAAAAGGTAAATATCTGTGAACCTCTCTGTTTAAATTCTTGAAGTTTTGATTTCCCCATAAATTTCGATTTTGGCATAAATATGTTAATAGCATATTTTAAAACACATAATTACAATTTCTCTAATCTATTTTATATTATTTGTGTAAAGTTCTATTTCTAATGGCAGATGAAGTGAGTGGTGACGACTATTATATGCGTATTGAACTACCGAAAGGTATGTTATACACTGTTATAAATTACTCATTGTAGCAGCACTCAATTGAGAGCGTGTACATTCTGACCAGTCCAGTATTGCTCTGAAGCTTCAAAGTTCCAGGATTATTTCTTCTTGAGATTTTACTCGAGATACTCAGAGTAGTATTGGACCACAGATTAATTAAAACAGCAGATAGAACATTAGATGTCGTCTTTTCAAGATTTTTTTTTCTTCATAATAACCCAGAAACAGAAAACCCAAAAGAGTTCCGCACAGGCAGCGTATGCTCTCTTTCTATTTTGTATTTCAGCGCTGAATGCGCGGAACTTCTTTTGACTTCTGATTCAGGTCCTTCAGGCCTGGTTATTGTGTACGAAAAATCCCAAAATCTTGAAAAGACGACATCTAATGTCCTATCTGTTATTTTAGTTAATCTATGTATGCTATCATGCGCACTACAATTTGTTTGAATTTTTGTTGGAATATTTCAATATTTCATTGTTTCGAACATGATATATTATTCTAAAATCCTGATGGATTTAAAACTCTTACTTTAGTATTCTTCAACTTATGAATGTCAAATTCGAAATTTTATTGTTTTTCTTTATTAACAATATATAAGTTATTGCTCTTTTGAAAGTTTCAAGAAAAAATTACCTTTTAATAATAAAATTATAAGTATCTGAAAAATCTAAAGTGTTTTATCCATTGTTTAATATTCTAGCACCATTCCAAGAGAAAGGTAAAGAAAGAAAAAGTCAAGAACCACGAAAAAAGATTAAAGCGAAAAGAGTATTTTTTCTTTGCAGATAAGTATGAATAATAAAATACTCATTTTCCTCATTTTTCTATCTGTTACAGAAAAACTGAAATTAATCATTTGCTAATGCTGTTTATCTTTTGAACGATTTAATATATTGGAGAGAGGTCGTTGAACTATCTACCGTAGGTTCAACTACTTTTCAAGTGCTGCACAGTGCACTGGAACAAGTCCTAAAGTACTAAATTAAAAGTTTAAGATTTTGAAGAAAAACTAATGTGAATTCAGTTGACGCAAACAAATTACGCTGCCAATTCCAACCAATCAGAGAACCGCAAATATCTAGTTTAAAAAAAACAGATCTCGGCTCTTTTTAACTGGGGTAGTTGAAAATTTTAAAACTTTAAGTTGATACAGCCATAATAGATAGATATGTGGTTGATCCATCTCTACATAGTTCAACGACTTCTTGCAATTCATTAAATCTGGTCCTGGGTCCATTTAAAAAGGAGCAACTCAGATTCACAACGGTTCTCTTTGAAGCGTTGACTGATCAAAGATCTCAGAAAAATTCTTACTAATCTACTGAAGCCGCACCCGTATAGCTTCCTATCCACTAATCTACTGAAGCCGCACCCGTATAGCTTCCTATCCACATTTTACTCAAAAACATAGACTTGCGGCAAAGCACTCCACCCCTAACGCTTCCTTATAGCCACACCCAAATAGCTTTTGGCAAAATGTCTTAATCTTTTATGCCAAATTTCAGCCATAAATGACTAATAAACTTCCTTTTGGCAACGTCACGCGACGATAATTGATACAAAATAGATTTTTTTTACTTTAATACCAGAATTCGATCGCGCTTAGATAAATTTAACCATTATTTCCTATTTCAGATAATTTTAACCCTATCCCCGCTGGGGTACTTGAAAACCAGGATACGCTGGGGGGGGGGGGTCAATTTGACCCCCCCTCTAAATCCCATGTTTTATGTCAAAATATGACAAATGATGCATCATTAGAAAGCTCTTGTGCTCTACTTTTAGAATCTGCAAAAAAATTTGCAAATTTGCGAAAATTGAATTTTTTATCGCAAAATCCAGTTTTATAGTAAAAATGTTTGCAAAAAAAAATTTGTCCAAAAAATGACAAATTATACATTTTTGAAAAGCCCTTGACCATGCCATTTCAAATATGCAAAAATTTTTGAAAAATTTTAAATAACCTGATTTTTAATCAAGAAAAACTAAAAATGTGAAAATTTCCTTTGACAGGTTGTTTGCAAAAAATTTGCAATTTTTTTTTCGCAAAACTTGTGCAATCCGTTTCCTTATGTCATAGGCTTTCCAAAAAGCTAAATTTTATCAAAATCTGACAAGTGAAAGTGGGTCAAAACAAAGATTTAGTTTGCTACAGGCAAAAGCAGTCATTCAGGCACTGTGCCTGAGGACTCAGGCAGTTAGTATTAAAGCCCGGTTTTAGGACTAAAGGGAGGGCTTTGGGTATGTAAGAAAAATCAGAAAATTTCAACAGCCTCAGACCAATACTTTTTGAGTTATGTAAAAAAAACTACAGGGGGGGGGTCAAATTGCCCCCCCCCCAGCGGGAATAGGGTTAAAGCGAATCATACAGATTGAACTTATTCTCAATTTCAAAAACATATTTAGAGAAGATTAACAAGCCCAAATGTACGAAATATTGTGGTTAATGAGGAAATTGCAAAAACTTCCATGCCTCAATAAGAAAGTTCACTGTCCTCTTACACAGTGCAAACCAAATTTACATCAAAAATAAATGCATTTTCAGGAAGATAATGCCTTAATTTCATAACGTAATATGGCCCACGAGGAAAAGTCGTCTATACATACGGTTATTGTGGAATGGAAGTTATATATGGGTACGAGCAAATGCTGCAACTCATGATTTACACTGAAACACTGTTCCGATCAAAATTTTAGAACTTTTGGTCCAAGAAGCTTATATTACCAAACTAAAATACGATAAATAAGTATAGGTAATAATAGATGTTATGACGTGTTTAGAATCTTAAATTAATGCTGCATTACTCTCTAGTAAGCATTCAAACGTAAAGACATAATGCCGGAAGATATATGAGTGTGGCTAAGGAAGCGCTACGGGTGAGCGCTTTGCCGCGAGTCTACGTTTTTGAGTAAATTGTGGATAGGAGGCTGTACACAGGTGTGGCTTGCCTTCTCCTCCAGAGCCCAAAACTTAAGACAGGGTATCGTTATTAAAACCAGTTTTAGAACCCGGGTTTCATGAATGGGGTTAGGCAGTTTTGTGGATATCCATATTTGTGGTACGAAATATTATTTTATTTAGTTTCTTAATATTCTCCATTTTTTCGAATCTTTTAAATCAAAATCTACACAAATGTTAAGACCCCAAAAAGGAAACTCGGGAGTTTCGTTCAACGATACTCTTTTAAATTTTGGGCTCTGGCGTACCATGTTTTAGCATGATTAAACACTAAAAACTATTTAACACATCTATTTAGCTTTAGGTTAAAAGGGTACCAATGTAAATCAGACATTGCCCTCTTTGCATGGAGTGCCACTTGAAATTATGCTTGCAGTCCCTTTAAAAACAAATATATCATTTAGTTCCGTGTAAAGAACGAACTGGTAACACCACATGTCCTGAACTTATGTCTTGTCTTAGAGATCATTGTTACTATGAAGGACAAGGTAAACCAAATCTGCGATTGCGATAACTTTTGGATTGTAATTGACATCTTTTAAAAAATATTGTTGAAAAAAAAACTAAACAATTCAACCAGAGGTGTATTCAGGGGGGGGGGGCTTACATTTTTTACATTTTTTACATTTTTTTCTGTCAAGTGCAGGGGCGATCAGCATCCTGTGGAGCCTGAAATTGTAGATTTCACTGATTCAGGGAGGAGAGGGGCTGAGCTCTCTAATCCCCCCCCTGAATATGCCTCTGAATTCTAAAATATTGATAAAAATTTTTAACAATATTGATTAGCAAACAGGTTTTGGTGATAGTTTCATCTTTCTTAAATTCAAAAATCAAAATTAACTAAATTGAACTGAAATATTGCGTTTTCATAACTATATTTTGATATAATTTGGAATTTCTTTTATTTGCTGAAAATTCTAATTGATTCTTTTATTCTTAGAGGATCCATGGGTAATTCAAGGTGATACAAATTTTTAATTTTTTTTTCTGAACAATAAATGATTGTCTCATGCAGATAAGTATATTTTTATTATTGTAAAATGACAAGCTATGAGTGGCCATTTATTTTTTTAGTAGAGAAAAAAGGCCAATAAAGCATTTTAGTTTTTCAAAAACTTAAAATAAATTATGCAGAAGGTTGAACATTTGTATAAATATATATTAATCAATTCCTTTTTGGTATCTTTAAACATGATTGTTGTAGATTATCAACAAAAGTTAGAATTTTTGTACATATTTATATGTAGAATAATACTGGTTTAAGGTGTACAGGGGTCTAGAATTACACCTCCCCCTCCATCATTTTTGATGTTTTGGGAAAAAATGATTTTCAAAAGGGGTGTGTTGTGGCCAGCCGTGGAGGGGGGGGGGTAACAAAAAGTAAGCACCCATAAAGTAAGTTACATCAAAACTAGATATACCTTGTGCTGAGCGAGTTGGGAAATTCGCATGTCCTTTTGGATGGAAGTGTGACGTAGACAAATGCGTCAAACTTAAAAGTAAGTATTTTATTAAAGATATTCATTGAAAAATAATTATGATTAAAACTTTATTAAAAAATGTCAATTTAAATTTTTGTCTGAGAAAAAATATCTATAGTTGGATTTTTACAAATTTCTCTACAATATCCCTTTAAGTAGATACAGGGTGTCCCATGAAGCATGACAGTTGACAGACGACTTGAATTTTGTACCATTCATTCGTGAAACTAATATAAGAAGTAAAATTCTTGAATTAATTAATAAAAAAACTCCTGGTCCTGCCTTTACAAAATGTGGCCTGTCATTTTTTTGTGCTTTCAATATTAGCGGAGATAATACGATTTTCGTTTAGATTCAGATCTGAACATAATTTTTAATATCTCCGGTCATATTAAAAGCACATAAAAGGCAGACCACAGTTTAGAAATGCCAGGACTAGGGAAGGTTTGTGGTGAATAATTTAAGAATCATACTTGTACAAGTTATTTGACAAATAATTGATCAAATAAAATAACAGAGAGGACAATAGATGCCCTTTTCAAAATTTAGCGCTTTTTGTTTACAAGATATCTATGTCCGATTCGTTAGACATTTTCTAGCTATGCTTTAGCTGTGACTTCCTCGCCTAGCTAGCCTGGGAAATCGCAGCTAAATCACAGCTAGAAAATGTTTCACGAATCGGGTACTAGTGTCCTATCTGTTATTTTCCTTAATCTACGATTTCTAAGATCAAAGACGATATTCAAGCTCGTGTGACACCCTGTAATTGTTTAGTTCCCTGTGACGATGGAAAGTGTCCTGATAGAATGAGTTGTATGGTACCAATGGATGGGGGGCCGGGCCCGTATTGTGCTCCATCAATCGACATCCCTGATCACACTGGTAGAGATGGGCATAAATGAACTAAATTTTTCAAAACGAACTAAATTTTTGTGAATTATTAACCAACAATTTGGATTGTTCAACATAACTAAAAAACGAAAGATAAAAAAGGATTTAAAATTGTTACCAATCATTCTTTTTTATTGACGAAAAAACTGATTTTTTAACACATTTTTACGTTTTTTTTACTGAACAAACGATTTTATTGAACTAACAATTTTATTGAATGAACAATTTCATTAAACAAATTTTATTGAACGATCATTCAGTTAGAAAACAAATGAAATATGATAGAAAATGAAAGAATTCCATTTTTTCTTAACTAAAATAACACGAACGAAATGTTTCATGAATAATGAACAAAGCAAATTTTCACCTGTCCATCTCTAGACACTGGGAATCCTAAAACCTACATCATAGAGACTGACGAGGAAGACGACCTCGCAGAAGGTACAGTAGGTATTAACACAGATCAGGCTGTCATAGATTGATCATTGATGGGGACTGCACAGCCTAGGTTGAAAGAGATTTACTTAACATGTAGCTGTATATTTCGAGTTTATCAATCAATGGTGCAGAATTTGGAATTGTTATATATTTCCACAGTGTGTCCAGTGGTTCAGAAAAAGGAGCTTGGAAAGAACGTAGTAACAGTCATTATGGAAATACAAATATTTTTCTTCTTTAAAGGGAGTCACCGGCTATGTAATGTAGTTGAACTGAGTATGCAGCGTTGTGAAAAACTTCTTTCGGATTTGAGACATCAAACTTTTTAAAGATTCACTCCACCCTACACTTTCATTTCATTCTTCACTCTACCCTACACTTTCATTTCATCCTTCACTCTACCCTGAACTTTCATTTCATATGACCATGTTATTGATCACCAATGACATTGTCTATTAAAGATTGGTTAAGATATTTTTGCCATTAATAATCTAAGATTTGTTGGCTCTATTTTATCACATTTTTTTACGTGTAACTGATCGATCCTCAAAAAAATTATCAATGGATCAAAAAATGATGCACACATAAGACCTTGTAGCCTGTAGCCATTTTATTGAAATATAATAAAAGTTTGAAAATAAACATAATAGGGATTGGCTCCTTGTAAGATTCTAATGTGAATGATGGTGCCGTTCAGATAAAGACTGAAGAATGAATTAAGGATCATTCAGAGGAAAAACCAATGATTTAAATATAGCAAAAAAACGTCTGTTTTTTACTGAACAAATAAATTTTCCAAAAAAAAAACTTTAAAAAAACGATAGAATTTTTACTAAACTAACGATTTTTTAACAAACTTTTGAAAAAACAATAGTTTTTTACTGAAAGGACAATTTCATTGAGGTAACAATTTTACCTGAACAATTATTCAGTGAGAAAACGAACGAAGATGGAAAATGAACAATAATTTTGAGAACAAAAGAAATCAACTATTTTGAACAATTGAAAAAAATAATGAACAAGCAAAATGTAAAAAGCCAAACACACCCATTGTATTGATTTCCCTTGGAATGACCGGTTTCAAACTACTCTCACTTTAATTTACTGTGTTTTCTTTAATTCTTTATTCAGATGATGTTTAACTGAAATAGATTGAAGTATTATAGCAACAATATAACATTGATAAGTACAATTTTTATAATGATTTCATATAATTACTTACACGAATGTCATCTATTAAGAAAGAAATCAAAGTAAGTTTACATCAGCGTCCATGGTTGGTTTAGGCCTTACTGAAGCTATACTTAGGATCCAGGCATACATACGTGCGTGCGCGCAGCAATTGTACATATTATATATAGTAAAATGGGAATAGATCAAATGCCTAATTTCAAAACACCCATCTCTAGCTAAATAGTTTTTGCAAAATTGTTAACTTTGTTAATCTTTTAGTCTAGAAGTTTGTGAAGAATGACGAACCAAAGAAAACTTGAAAACTGAAAAGGTACGTCATTTTATTTTTGAAAAAAATAAATCAATAATATTAAGATTTTAGGTAGATTTGGATTCCCAGTTGAATATGATGAACATGCACATGCATTACTTTTTATTTTTATTGTGTTCAAAATTCAAAAATAAATTATGCTCATTTAATATTTACAATAATTATTTTAATATTTCAATATTTAAAACAAATGAGAAAGATTCCATGAAACCCTATCTGAGTTGGTCTATTTTTGTCTAATATCAGTTTAATGTAAGGTATTAAGATAAAAAATAAACTTTTCAAAAATATGTTTAACAAATAACAAAAATAAAAAATTTGAACAAATTCTGTTAATTTTAATATTATGATATCCATGTTCCATTGTCTTATTGTTACCAAATGAATCCAACGATATATTTGCCTCTTTAATACAATACTGCAGTCATAGTTCAACTGAGCTGACAAACAAATAGACAGACAGACAGAAAAGCGGGCGTTTTCTCGTTTTAAATTAAAAGTCGTATTAGATTTTTTCAAAAAAATTTTCTTCATTTTTTGCTTTGAAAAATACGAAATGATCGTATTACTATTCACGTTTTGAAGCAAAACGATTTCCAAATTGTAAACGCAAAACAGAAAACGAATGTTTTGAAAATAAATTCAAAGCAATGCCCATCCTTAGATACAGGTCACCAGACAAACTTTCGTCAATTGAAACACTGAGGAGAAAGAGAGGGGGAGTGTAAACTGCTTTAGTCTAGTGGGAGTGTAAACTGCTTTAGTCGAGGGGTAGGGAGTAAACGGCTCTATTTATAAAAGGGTAGGGGGAGAAAAATGCACTAGTTTAGCGGGGGNNGGGGGGGAACTGCAAGGGTCGGTGCTCTTGAGTCTACAAGTTATTATCTAGCGGTGCTATTAATATAAACAAAGAAGAGGGGGAGGGGGCAAGATCATAAAACTAAGAATTAGTTAAATGAAATATTAAGCCCAACTTTTATTTATATTATGTTTAGTAACTCTTATTCCAAATATTAAAAATGAAAACTTTGAATTGATGGAATGGTTTTGTCTTTTTCCTTTGCTATTGTTACTAATATATTAATGCAATGATAAGTTACAAATATAATGATGCAATAATTAGTTACAAATATATTAATGCAATGATTAGTTACAAATATATTAATGCAATGATTAGTTGCAAATATATTAATGCAATGATTAGTTACAAATATATTAATGCAATGATTAGTTACAAATATATTAATGCAATGATAATTTATAAATAGAAGGGAGATACAACTGACGCGGCCCGGCTTACCATCATGAGAATACATGCTTTGCAGACGGTACTCCATTTGTATATGAAATATTTAGAATAGGTTATTTCGTATACGCGGTAATTGTACGTTAGACAAATATTTCTTATTCAAATAAAGTACCGTCAATTCCATACTCCTTGATTGGATTACCCTCTGTCAGAGATAAGAGAGTTTTAGAGATCGATTATCAGCTATAATATGCGATATTTTCCACAATATGTTCTATTGTGTACATTACTGTACACAACCAATCAGCAAACATCTGCATTCACTTCAGGGGTATTTAGGGATCCTTTGGATACGAAACACAAAATCTTCAAAAAAAGACTGAATTCATAAATGTTATGTTTCATGTTTAAAATTGGAGTATTTCATTAAAAGTTGTAAAACTTAAACCCTGAATGGGTATTATGTTCAACAAGTGGCCGTGAGATGGCACTCTAAAAACCTATCGTAAAAACGTGCTGGGTCAAATTGGGCCTACATAGCCCACCCTGTAAAAAGAGATAAGCAGTCTGTGTAGTCTGTGCCCTCTGTATACTATAACCCCTGAGATGGTACAGGTTATTGTATACAAACTATGTATATGAGCTTGTGGGTAGAATACTACAAGTTCAACGTGACTTCAACCTAATGAAATGCCATGATTTTTTATATCTGAAATATTTCAGTATTTAAATTATAAATAATTCCCAGATAAAGTTCTGTAGCACAAACATTTTTCAACAAATTTTAGCGGTTTTTATAAGAAATTTTCCTCATTTTGGGCAAATAAATTATAGTGCAATATATGGCAACGTAGAATTTGTACACTCTCGTCTCTCAGTACAGCTATATTCTTACGTCACAAGTATCAACTCAGTTTATTTGTCCGACGAAATTGTTGATAATAGCGATAATTTTAGAATAAAGCGCTCATCTTACAGTAAAATTATGCAATTTTATGTGTTCCTTATTTTCTGTTGTTAAACTTTTTCACTTAATCCACAAAAAACATGTCAACTAACGTGAGAAAATTTCGCTTTACGACACTTGTGTGACGTCATGTAAATTAGTCCATTTCTCTGTTGCCACCTATTGCACTTGATAATCTATTTGATTTTCGGGAATATTTTTTTACAGTTCATTTTTTATCTCATCTGCCTGCAGTATATACTCAAACAATTTAAACGGTCTTTGGGAACACACAATATTGTTTACATATAATTAGACTATTAGTCAAAGAGAATAGAATATATATTAGAGTGGAATTTAGAAAATCCCTCGGTATGAATTTTGTCATCCCCTTTCAGCCTGAAAGGGAGTTCAAAGTGTACAAATCATGTAAATGTTGACAAATTTTATGCAGTAGAGTACTTTAATACATGGTATGTTCCCTAGACTATCCATTTCAATTTCGATTTTTTTAAAGCTGTTAAATAAACTTTATAATTGAATTAGGTGAATAAAAAACATCATTTGATTTATAGTTATAACGGAAAATCATCGTTTGTAAAGTGAAAGGCATAGAGTCTATGTGAAATGATCATTGGTCAATTATGAAACCAGCCTATTTCATAATTTTTTTTAATATTAATTTTAGGTTTTCTATAAAATGATGTTCCAGGGCCCAAAAGGTTATAACGCACAAATATGTGAAGTACACCTGCAGTATGGAAACAGTAGAACAAAATGGCTGTTTTACACTTTTTTCTAGTAAATTCCCCTCTAATATATATTCTATTTTCTTTGCTATTAGTTCACATTCAATTCAACAAAGTTTACAAAAAAATTCCAAAACTTTAATGCATTGAAAAAATTAGGAACAAAGATACTTGCCGCTATTCTTAAAACGTTTTATGTCAGCTCGCTAGTACTGGGTGTCCCGATAAACATGGGAATAGGGAGACGACTTTAATTTTGATAGTTGATAAAATTACATAAAGTGTATCATACAATGATTGTATGTCTTCTGAGCTCTTCAAAATGTAGACTGCCTTCTTTATATCTTTACAAATTAAATAATATTTAATATCTAAACAATTTAATATTTGGGAATCTGGGCAGATTTTTCTTAAACCTCGTCAATTTGAATGATGCAAAAATCGTAGACCACATTCACAAGACTAGTAGGTTTGGATGTTAATTATTTTAACTGAGATACTTTTAAAGTTGTTTTAACGTTGTAATGCTACACGAAACAAAGACGATATAGAAGTCATCATTGTATTCCAATGTTTATTGGGACACCCTGTACCATCGCTAAATTGTTATTTTCAAATTAAGCTGAAACCCTTCGGTATGCTGAAGACGACATAAGCTATCTATTATATTTTATCTAGGCCTCATCTCCTTCCCACAGCTTACACATATTTTGACTAAGGAATTGAGTTTTTGCCACAAACTTAAATTTTCTAATCCTTATATTTTGGCAACCTAATGGTGGAAACCCTTGATATTTCAAACTTAGGCTATTTGATCTAGCAGAATCCATAGTTTGAAATATCTAACGTTTACGAGATTGGATTGCAAAGATATAGGTATTAGAAAATCAGAGTTTGTGACAAAGAGTCAATTCCTTTACTTAAAATCATGCTGTAGCTGTGCAATACCCTTTCAGTAATTAATTAATTAATTAATTTATTTATTTGTACACAATTTTAGTACAGTTTAAAATCAACAAGGATTGAATTATAATAAAACAATAATATAATAATATAATAATATAATAATATAATAATATAATAATATAATAATATAATATAATAAAACAAGACATTAATATATATGTTCAGTGTTCACCTGGCCGGCCAAACGGCTGGACTGAATGGGCTGATTTTTTTTGGTAAACGCTCATGGATTTTTTAGGCTTAAAAAATCGATTTTTTATTAAATTTGTTTTTTTCTTTTTCACGGGTAACGCCGGGCCCTACAGCTTGTAACATATAAACATAGAATAAATATATATAGTCGAAAACAATAAAACAATAGTTAGTTTTTATATCTATATATATATAAAGTTGTTTGGGTGTTTGTTTGTTTGCTTTTCCGATAATAACTCGGAACCTCTGGACCGATTTGCCTCAAATTTTGATTGGTGAACTCGGGGGACCAACGGGAATGTTCTTAGCTTGGTTTTGAGATTCTAAGTTAAGTGGGTCGACTAGCAATAATTTATTTTCCTGGTAAAATCGTTCAAGTGCGGGTAAACGGTGGAGTAACTTTTAGAATCTAGGCAGGGCTGGGTTCCCAAGCTAGTATATCATAAAAAAATCTACAACTATCAATTTTTTAATCATCATATTTCCTGGACCGAATCTTCAGCCAATATGACTTGAAGAAGAGTACAAATATTGATTAGAATCTTAATATTTAAGGAAATATTTCAACATTTATTCAAGAATTTATGAACAACTTAACCAGGGACAGAAAGATAGATAGATAGATAGATAGATAGATAGATAGATAGATAGATAGATAGATAGATAGATAGATAGATATATGAAAATATATATATATATTTATGTAAATTTAAAGATAGATAGATAGATAGATAGATNATAGATACATACAAAGAAGGATAAATAGGTAACTATAAAGATAGATATATAGATATTAGAGATAGATGGAGAAATAGATAGATATATAGATAGTTAGATAGATAGATACAAAGATGGATAGCTAGGTAATAGAAAGATAGATATATAGATATTAGAGATAGATAGAGAAATAGATAGATATAAAGATAGTTAGATATATAGATATATAGATAGATCGGTAGATAGATAAATAGATAGACTTATAGATTTATAGATACATGTTGAGACATAGATACATATAAAGCTGTAATCTCTGTTTTTCTGGCTGTCTTTCTGCCTGCTCAAGTGCGGGTAAACGACGGGAGTAACTTTTAGTAATCTTGGCAGCGCTGGGTTCCCAAGCTAATATATATATAAAAATTGATAGATAGATATAAAGATAGATAGATAGCTCGATTGACAGATAGTCTGATATCCCGGCCAAGATCCGATAGCGGCGATTGTTCAATTGTTGAATTATATATTCAGTCGGAGTATATTCTTTTACATAGATACATCAATATACTTCAGAGGTATATTGAAGGAGTGTATTCTTTTACATAGATACATCAAAATACTTCAGAGGCATATTGTAAGAGTATATTCTTTTACATAGATACATCAATATACTTCAGAGGTATATTGTAGGAGTATATTCCTTTACTTCTATACTTCAGAGGTATATTGTAGGAGTATATTCCTTTACCTAGATACATCAATATACTTCAGAGGTATATTGTAGGAGTATATTCCTTTAAATAGATACATCAATATACTTCAGAGGTATATTGTATATTCCTTTACCTAGATACATCAATATACTTCAGAGGTATATTGAAGGAGTATATTCTTTTACCTAGATACATCAATATACTTCAGAGGTATATTGAAGGAGTATATTTCTTTACATAGATACATAAATATACTTCAGAGGTATATTGAAGGAGTATATTCCTTTACATAGATACATCAATATACTTCAGAGGTATATTGTAGGTGTATATTTCTTTACTTCTATACTTCAGAGGTATATTGTAGGAGTATATTCTTTTACATAGATACATCAATATACTTCAGAGGTATATTGTAGGAGTATATTCTACATAGATACATCAATATACTTCAGAGGTATATTGTATATTCTTTTACATAGATACATCAATATACTTCAGAGGTATATTGTAGGAGTATATTCCTTTACATAGATAAATCAATATACTTCAGAGGTATATTGTAGGAGTATTTTCTTTTACCTAGATACATCAATATACTTCAGAGGTAAATTGTAGGTGTATATTCCTTTGCCTAGATACATCAATATACTTCAGAGGTATATTGAAGGCCGGAGTAACCAAAAAAAGGTTTTTCTCATATTATCTTTTTTTAATTATAAAGGCCGCGTATGAAATGGGATTATAAATCAGCATTTTATTCTACTTCACGCACAACTTTTATTTTTTATAATTCGTCCGATCAATGCAGCTGCAATGCTTGGTTTTATTTGAATGATTTTTATCTTTTTTTCTTCCATGTTTTGAATGTTAAAATGTCTCTAGCAATTGTCTATATCTAAAAGAATAAGCGTTTTGCGAAAATTCAGCATTTTTCGCAAAAATTTGTTGTTTCGCCGAAAATTCCATGACGTATGCTAGACGTATTTTTTATTTTGTGCTTAACTTAAAGTAATATACATCCAACATTCTATATTTATGAAAAACAACAAGATTAAAACAAGGGAAAATCCTGGCGGCGTTTTAAAGTCAACCCAGTCAAAAAATGTCATAATAGTTTGAATCGTTTTAACCTCATAAATAAACTGAGAATCGTCAATTCAAAACAAATTTGACATTTATTTAAGATCTTAAACTTTTTCATTCATAACTCAATCAAATAAAAAATAATAGTTATTGTAAGTTCACATTTTAAAATCCCTAAATCTTTGCATTCTGATGGTTTAAATTTCAAATTTCAAAGTTAGACTGTTTAGTTTCACAGACTTAATTGTTTAAATAAAAGTTCTAGGACATCGATTTTCGTATATATTTATATATGGATTAGAAATTCTGAATTTAAAGAAAGATCTTAAAAGCAAAGATTGCAATTTCAGATTCCCAATAGTATCCTTGAGTTTTTTTTATGATCAGTAATCTGGGATATATAATCTGATATTCTTTCCTCCAGCTAAAATACGCAAGTCCTTTCCTGCAGCTAGAATACGCAAGTCCTTTCCTGCAGCTAGAATACGCAAGTCCTTTCCTGCAGTTAGAATGCGCAAGTCCTTTCCTCCAGCTAGAATACTCAAGTCCTTTCCTGCAGCTAATACGCAAGTTCTTTCCTGCAGCTAGAATACGCAAGCCCTTTCCTGCAGTTAGAATGCGCAAGTCCTTTCCTGCAGTTAGAATGCGCAAGTCCTTTCCTGCAGCTAGAATGAGCAAGCCCTTTCCTCCAGCTAGAATGCGCAAGTCCTTTCCTCCAGCTAGAATGCGCAAGTCCTTTTCTGCAGCTAGAATGCGCAAGTCCTATCCTGCAGCTAGAATGCGCAAGTCCTTTCCTCCAGCTAGAATACGCAAGTCCTTTCCTCCCGCTAGAATGCGCAAGTCCTTTCCTCCAGCTAGAATGCGCAAGTCATTTTTAGAAAAACAAAAATTTACATACTTTAAAGGGTACATTTGGGAATCAGGCATTACCATTTATATTTGAATATAAAGTCACTTTAAATTACGTTTACAGTCCCTTTAATGCCTAGATTTTTGGAGGAATGTTTACAGTCCCTTTAACGTCTAGATTGTTGGAGGAATGTTTACAGTCCCTTTAATGTCTAGATTGTTGGAGGAATGTTTACAGTCCTTTTAATGTCTAGATTGTTGGAGGAATGTTTACAGTTTCTTTAATGTCTAGATTGTTGAAGGAATGTTTACAGTCTCCTTAATATCTAGATTTCTGGAGGAATGTTTACAGTCTCTTTAATGCATAGATTGTTGAAGGAATGTTTACAGTCTCTTTAATGCCTGGATTGTTGAAGGAATGTTTACAGTCCCTTTAATGCCTAGATTGTTAGAGGAATGTTTACAGTCTCTTTAATGCCTAGATTGTCGAAGGAATGTTTACAGTCTCTTTAATGCCTGGATTGTTGAAGGAATGTTTACAGTCCCTTTAATGCCTAGATTGTTGGAGGAATATTTACAGTCTCTTTAATGCCTAGATTGTCGAAGGAATGTTTACAGTCTCTTTAATGCCTAGATTGTCGAAGGAATGTGTACAGTCTCTTTAATGTCTAGATTGTTGAAGGAATGTTTACAGTCTCCTTAATATCTAGATTTCTGGAGGAATGTTTACAGTCTCTTCAATGCATAGATTGTTGAAGGAATGTTTACAGTCTCTTTAATGCCTATATTGTTGAAGGAATGTTTACAGTCCCTTTAATGTCTAGATTGTTGGAGGAATGTTTACAGTCTCTTTAATGTCTAGATTGATGGAGGAATGTTTACAGTCTCTTTAATGCCTAGATTGTTGAAGGAATGTATACAGTCCCTTTAATGTCTAGATTGTTTGAGGAATGTTTACAGTCTCTTTAATGTCTAGATTGATGGAGGAATGTTTACAGTCTTTTTAATGCATAGATTGTTGAAGGAATGTTTACAGTCTATTTAATGTCTAGATTGTTAAAGGAATGTTTACAGTCCCTTTAATGTCTAGATTGTTGGAGGAATGACCGTACTGCTGCTCGTTAGTATATTTGTTTTCATGATGTTTATATACTGGTTTAAAGGAAGGTAGATCAATTCATATATTTTATATATTTAAATTAGTTTCCACTAGGATTGCCTATTATTGGGCACCTACATATCTTGAACCCTGAAGCTCCCTATTTGTCCCTTCATGCCTGGACTAACCTCTACGGAAAGGTGAGAAATAAAGGGACAGTTTCTGATTTAAAAAGGGGTAAGCTATATAATATCTAGACCCATCAGATGGAAGTATGAACCTTTCAACAAATAATGCTTCTTACACTACAATTTTATGTTCAAGATATCCTTTGTTCAAGATATCCCTAATTGTTCATTTTTATATTCAAGATATCCCTAATTTTTCATTTTTATGTTCAAAATATCCATAATTTTTCATTTTTATGTTCAAGATATCCCTAATTTTTCATTTTTATATTCAAAATATCCATAATTTTTCATTTTTATGTTCAAGATATCCATAATTTTTCATTTTTATGTTCAAGATATCCCTAATTTTTCATTTTTATGTTCAAAATATCCCTAATTTTTCATTTTTATGTTCAAAATATCCCTAATTTTTCATTTTTATGTTCAAAATATCCGTAATTTTTCATTTTTATGTTCAAAATATCCCTAATTGTTCATTTTTATGTTCAAAATATCCATAATTTTTCATTTTTTATGTTCAAGATATCCATAATTTTTCTTTTTGATAATTCAGTATTTTCTATAGTTGGCCCTCTCTTAAGGGACATGCACATTTCTGCAGACCGCAGTTCATTTAACGATACGACATTTATTTTTTACATTTTCCGATCCTATTTTGACATCTTTTAGTTCATTTAACGACATTTATTTTTTACATTTTCCGATCCTATTTTGACATCTTTTAAAAACATATCTAGGACCAAAATTAGTAAAGTTCGCGGTCTAACTTTTTTCAATGAGCTGGCCTTGAAAAATTTGGCTTTGAACATGTATTGCAACCTTACACCTTTACTCTAGGGCATTTTTTTTGGGGGGGGGGGGGGGGGTCGGCGGCCCCCCCCTAGCCTTTACATAGATTCAGACCCCTAGCCTTTAAAGGGTTAAAGGGGCTGTAACAATAGTTTTAGATGACTTCACATTATTCCAATTCACAACAGTATCATTAAGAACTTTGTTTGTATTAGAAAGCATAGGATAACCATAATTTTCTGTTTAAAAATTAATTCTCTTTTAAGTCTGTACGTGTTTAACATATTTGAATTATTTGTAGGTGTTTAAAATATTTCAATTGTCTGCAGGTGTTCAAAATATTTCAATTGTCTGTAGGTGTTTAAACTATTTTAATTGTCTGTAGGTATTCAAAATATGTTAACTGTCTATACGTGTTCAAAATATTTGAATTGTTTGTAGGTGTTCAAAATATTTGAATTGTTTTTAGGTGTTCAAAATATTTGTATTGGCGGTAGATGTTCAAAAAATTTCGAATTGTCTGTAGGTGTTCAAAATATTTCAATAGTCTGTAGATGTTCAAAATATTTCAATTGTCTGTAGGTGTTCAAAATATTTGAATTATCTGAAGGTGTTTAAAATATTTGAATTGTCTGTATGTGTTCAAAATATTTGAATTGTCAGTAGGTGTTCAAAATATTTGAATTGTCTGTAGGTGTTCAAAATATTTGAATTGTCAGTAGGTGTTCAAAATATTTCAATTGTCCGCAGGTGTTCAAAATATTTCAATTGTCTGTAGGTGTTCAAAATATTTGAATTGTCAGTAGGTGTTCAAAATATTTGAATTGTCTGCAGGTGTTCAAAATACAGTTTGGTTCTGTGCCCTGTGTTGTCATCTCTGATGTCGATGTTCTTAAAAAAGTTTTCAGGTAAAAAATTATAAAAAAGAACTTCAGAACTACCATGTATTTAGGTGTACAAAACAACATACTGCAGATTCTTGGATAAATAAACAAAGTTTAGTTTATAAACTCTTTTTTCTTAGAAACTACAGTTCACTATTTTGTATTTACAGTGTGCATTAGGATGTTTGTAAGATAAAGAATAATATTAGTTTAAATGAAAAGTTTTTATGAGACAAATGCCAATGAATTTTAAGTTGTACCGTGTATACTTATCTATAAATGGTCGGCATTTATATCAATACAATGAAGACTTTTTCTATCTAAGTTTTGATTTTTAGCCATCTTTTTTTAATTTGTAAGTTTAATTGTAAAAAAAGAACGGCTGTTAATTCACAGCTTCTCTTTGTTTACATGTTTATGTGTATCCATGCTGTATTGAAGCTTGTTATAAATTGAAATAGAAAGTCGTAATCATTGTATTTATCTAAACGGGACGACTGTATAATTCATATTTGTCCAATAATGCAGTCAGGAAGAGGCTACTGGACGAGCACCCCTTTATCTCACGCATGGAATTATGCAGGTCAGCAGAGGTTAAAGAGTACATAACACCTGCACAGTAAAATTATAACACAAAGAATGCATAGCATAGTACAATGATTACATTAAAAATATATAGCAGAGTACACTAAGTACATAAAAAATACATAGCAGAGAATTATGACACAAAGAATATATAGAAGAGTACAATGATTACATTAAGAATACATAGCAGAGTACAATGATTACATAAATAATAAATTACATAGTACAATGTTAACATAAAGAATACACACCACAATACGATGATTACATAAAGAATACATAGCAAAGAAAAAATAGTACATAAAGAATACATAGCAGAGTAAAATGATTACATTAAGAATACATAGCAGAGTACAATGATTACCATAAAGAATACACTGCAGAGTACAATGATTACATAAATAATACAATGTTAACATAAAGAATACATACCACAGTCCAATGATTACATAAAGATTACATAGCATAGTACAATGATTACATAAAGAATACATAGCAGGGTAAAATGATCACATAAAGAATACATAGCAAAGTTCAGAAGAAGATGTTTTCATGGTTTTAAATAATAAATTGAAATTAAAACAAAATTCAATATCTTTGATATTTTTGAGAGAAATAAAATGGAGGCTATATTTTTTAAATGGCAGGGTTAGGGCTGCTTTTTATTATTGTTTCATAAAAAAATCCTGCAAAAATCAGATTACATATAATGAATGCCGCAAGCTCTTTCTAAGGTCAAAGACGAGTTTTGAAGTGAATAATCAATTAATATTGTTCCTGCTTATTTAAAATAGGACTAAACCAAATAAATTATCTCCTTCTAGTGAAATTAATGAGCTTATTTAATGCAGGGGCATGGTTTGATCTGTAGTGAGGGTCCTACCTGGCAGGAACAGAGGATAGTCAATCAATCAATCAAATAATTGATCAATCAATCAAATAATTGATCAATTAAGCATTCAATCAATCAATCTATCAATAATTCAATTAATCAATTTATCAAATAAATCGGTGATTAATACTTGTTTGTGAAATAGCCCTAATATACAAGGACGGCTATGGGATATGTAGGACAATATTATTCATTGTTTAGGACTGCGAAATATACAAGGACGACTATGGGATATGTAGGACAATATTATTCATTGTTTAGGACTGCGAAATATACAAGGACGACTATGGGATATGTAGGACAATATTATTCATTGTTTAGGACTGCGAAATATCTATGGGATATGTAGGACAATATTATTCATTGTTTAGGACTGCGAAATATACAAGGACGACTATGGGAGGATGATGCAATTCATTGTTTTGGACTGCGTAAGATATGAATAACTACTTGATCAAGGGATTCAAGGTTTTAATATTATTTTATATTAACTATTAAATTTTATTTATTAAAATGCACTGTACATTATCAAATAGATAATTATGTATATAAAGGGTACCATCTGAATCGGGCAATGCCATCTATGCATGATGGATCCCTTGAAACTACGCTTACAGTCCCTTTAATTAAATATTTTTATTTCAAATTTATTGATTGATGGATTTACAGACGGTGGACTGGAAATATTTTGAAGATTTTGCTCAAGGTAAAACTTTAAATTAATGTATCAGAAAAAAAACTATAATTTGGAACATTTTTTTTGGTGACCCTTTCTTCATATGCACTGGGATGCACTGGTTTTTAATAGTATTTAAAACATTTAAGATTTTAATCTCGCATGCAATTAAGTTTAGTTTAACCAGACCAGGACCAGAACTTGGGATTAGTTTAACGTGTTCAGGACTAGAACTTGGGATTAGTTTAACCAGACCAGGACCAGACCTTGGGATTAGTTTAACGTGTTCAGGACCAGAACTTGGGATTAGTTTAACGTGTTCAAGACCAGAACTTGTGATTAGTTTAACGTGTTCAGGACCAGAACTTGGGATCTAAATGTGGAGTTGAAGTTTGCAAGATGTTGGAGAAGAAACTGTCTGCTGAGGGAGGGAGTATTGATCCAGCAGATATATTGGGACATTGTATTGGGAATGCTATGAATAAGGTATATTATATTTATACTATGTTTGTATGTCTGTTTTCTGTTTGTCTGTGGTACCTCTCAAGACCCAAGGAAAGGTGTATGGTTGCTCATAACTACAAAATGTTGTTTCCAAAAATTTGGAATTTCTTTCCTCGTGTAACTAACATCTTCGGCTTTCAAGGGTTGAGAACCCAAGCAATCCCCTCCCCCGGTTCTTAATTAAATTGGGTAAATTTTGTTGATTGGACAAAGCAAGGAACTACAGAAACAATTCTATTATGGTTGGCGAAATTTTGTTTTTTTTTCGCAAAATAAAATGAAGCGAAAACAAAGCGAAATTTCGCGAAAAAGTTTGTGAAATGCGTCTGAAAATTTTCTCATTTTTCTTTGCGTAACGTTTCGTTCGCTGGAAACCCTAATAGATACTAATAAAACATGTAATAAAATGAAGATTTTTTTCTGCCTGATATCCAAGAAGATCTATTTGTTTTGAATTTACAGTTCAAATTTTTCCCTCCCCCCCCTAGAAGCTCATTTCGCCGCCCACCTTAGATTTTTTCTGTTGTTCTTTGCTTTGTCCATGATTAACAAACTTTACCCAATTTAGTTAAGAACCAAGAGAAGGGATTGCTTGGGTTCTGAACCGTTGAAAAATAAATAAAATAAAAAAATACGTAAAAATTGTTTTACGAAAATGCGAAATGCAAAAATTTGTAAAAACCATGAGTTTTATAGCTGCAACAATTAATTAAAAAAACTTGTGGAATTCTCTGCTCTTTCATTTAGAGTTTTATTATGTCATATAAATATTTTCTCTTCCTTTACTTTAATTAAATGTTTGATGAAGAGAATTTGATTTCACTAACTATTTTTAAAGTTTTTGTCTGTCCGTCCATAATACATACGTTCAACCGTGATTATGAGCCAGCCAATAACAATTTTCGCATTTTTTCGCAAAATTTTCGCATTTTTTCGCGAAATTTTCGTATTATTTTTATTGTGAAATTTTCGCATTATTTCTTCGCGAAATTTTCACGAAACGATTTTTTAATTTCGCTGTAAACCTAGTATTTATTGTATTTATAAAAATCATTATTTTTGAAAATGAAACACTTAACAATTAAACTTAAATTCAATGAGATATATAAAAGGACAATTTTTGTGGAAACTCGTGAGTGGGGTGACATAGGCTACAAAATTTGAATTTTTTCTTTCAAAGAACCTGTCAAATCATTCGTTGGGATGTTTAGAAAGATGAAAATTT